AGAGGCGGGGATGGAAGTACATACGGTACTGATAGAGTCAGTAATCTGGAAGGAGACAGACACCGAAACCGGCACAGAAACCGGCACAGAAACAGGCACAGAGACAGGTACGGAGGCAGGCACAGAGACAGGCACGGAGGCAGGCACTGAGATAGGCGTAGAGGCGGGCAGGGAAGTACAGGAGGTACCCATAGGGTCAATGACCTGGAACAGTTGCAGGTTAGGGTAATGACRCACGAGATCAGAGATGGAAGTTATTGTTTGCACCATAGCACCGCCATTCCATAATTCCCAAGAACCAGAGGCACGGACAAGAGCGGTGTCGTGGCCAGGAGTATGTAGAATATAGGCACAAACGCGCGAACAGTGGTCCGGGTTACTACCCGAAGGGGCACGCTGCACATCAAGCCGGCGCCTTATCAAAGCGGTCTCCAAAACCGAGACATTGAATCCCCCATGTCGAGTGTAATTACTATCCTGTGGGGGGTGCAAAGACGGGTTATCGCCATATAACTCATGTTCCTGAGCATCAAGATTGGAAGCAATGGCCAAAAAATCAGAGTGAGTATATGGTTCCCGATGATAGGCTTGCAGGCAGATGTTAGTAGCAGCGAGGCCAGACAGATTCGGTGGAGGCCGGTCAGGGGGATTTTCTACAGAATCTCTTACAGGCCCCTTGCCAAGTTCATCCTCGGACGGTCCCTCGCCATCATCCCTCCTATTTTGTGTTAGCCGCGTTGCAGAAAGATCTGCAGTCGAAGAGCGTTGCAGGCATGGTAAGGACGCTTGGGGCGGCAAAGGACGGGGACGGGACGTTGGGGAGGGCCGTGGTGGGGAGAATGAACGGGTTCTTCTTCGTCCAAGAATAGAGATGGAGGGAAGGGGAGTAAGGTGAGGTTGGGAAGTAGGTCGAAACCGACGTCTAGGACGACGAAGTGGGCTTTCTGCAGGGGAAGAACATGATGACGGAGTCTGTGTGGACGAGGTGGTTTGTGGATTAGGAAGAGGGGTAGCGGATGGAGACAAAACTAGGGGAGGTAGGAGTGGTGAAGACAGCGGCGGTATAGTAGTCGGAAGGTGGGTAACAGACGGAGATAAAACCAGGGGAAGTAAAGGCGGTGAAGATGGGAAGGATGAAGTCAGGGGTGGTGAAGTGGCTGAAGCGGACACAGGGGGGGCAGTCGCAGGTGAGACCCGAAGAGGGGACTCTGCAGGTGGTAATGCAGGCATGGCCATATATGCCATGAAGGAGCACACCGAGACCGAGGGCAACACAACAGCTGTGGTGGCCACGGATGCCATGGAGGAACACACCGAGACCAAGGGCGACACAGCAGCCGTGGTGGCCACGGATGCCATGGAGGAACACACCGAGACCAAGGGCGACACAGCAGCTGCGGGTCGAGTTGCTCTCGCGGAATCAATCGTAGAAGCAACCAAGGCCGATGGGGAAGAGGCTGCGAAACGAAAAGGGGTAGCCAGGGTCACAAACGGCATGGAAGGGGTCATTACGACTGATGAGGACGCAGGTGCAGCAGATGCAAGTAATGAAGAAGAGGCTGTGATAGGTGTGACAAGCGCCGGTAATGAAGAAGGGGCTGTGACAGGCGTAGTCCGAGGACAGTGTGTGGACACCCGAGAAAGTGGGTGATGAATAGACCATCGAAGCATGTTGCGGAACCAGCTGGAGAGGCGGGTCACGTGGGCAGGGTACCTGTGTTGACATTTACGAATATAGGAAGTCCATACTTTCGCAAGCATTGTTGGAGAGTGCCCGCGAAAAAGCATACAGCGTGTGAGCATCGCTGCTGCAGTTTTGAAGTCATACCAGTTGTTGCAGACATACTCGAACCTAGTAAGCTGGCCTGCAAACACTCTCGCCGGCTGGTGTGCAGGGACTTTAGACGTAGCACTAGGATAACGAATAACAGGGAAATTCCATTCAGCTGCTTTGTCAAAGACACTCATACGTAGGGAACCGTAAGGGCGGACGTGGAGACGTGCATCCAAGAATGTGCAAGAGCCATCAGGCGCTGTGGTCTCCTTCCATTCAAGGCCATAATGCTCTGACGGTGATGGCAGATGTCCCCATGAGAGAACATCATCGATCAAGCGGTATGTGAACGCATACCGTTGAGCTGCACGAAGATCACGCTGCTGGAGGTCGTCAACAAATCGAGCCTCATCCCAATGCAACGTCAAGTTAGCTATCTCCGGACCAGAATTAGTCCCCATCGGGATGCCAATCAGCTGATGTCGCAAGGTGCCGTGCGCTGCATAAAGATATGTGTTTGTGACAATGAAATGGAGATGTTCAAGAATTTGGGAAACAGTCAAGGTGTTGGGTCCGGTATCAACCGTCCACTCCCCTTGACGGGGCCCTTTAACAATCATGTTAAGGGTAGGAGGATGTGTGTGCCCCTGTGTGTGATGTTGTAAGGCATATGTATAGGCTTCCTCAACCGCTTTTGATACATTATGACAAATACGGTCATGAGGAAGATTGATATACATAGTTGTGAAATCAACAGTGCGAGGAGCATGCTCACGAAGAGAAGATGAATTACGTTTGAGATCAAGCATCACCTCCTCAGCGCTTTGCACGATCCAGCACCGTCTCACACCACTTTGCTGATACAACAGATTATCCTTCTCACGGAGAGTCTCAATGACTCCTTGTAATGCAACGCTGAGGCGGGCAGAAGCGACGGTAGTGTTGGCCAAGGGTTTGTGGGGAGGTCGATGGTGGACTGCATGAACAGATGGCGCCATTGATCGAGATCGCTGCGGCAGAGAGAGATTGTTCCGCTCTGTGACGCCGACAATACTGCGAAGCCCAGGGGGCGATTTATGCGCTTTAAGTGCATAGTACAGATACGACAGCGTGTCTGTGTGTGTATATCCCCACCGATGATTCCAAAGCGCGTGGTGTTCGAGAATATCTGCGATAGAGTCAAGAGGCACATTATAGGTAGGACTATCCAAATGAGCAGATAGATGAGACAGGTACCAATTTTTACAACAGATTGCTAAGTTGTGTGAGGTCTTGTCGACAGGAACAATAGCAAAGTGTTGTTGAAGGTGTCTCAAAGCCCTGTGCACTGAGTGAAGGGAGTGTGGTTGTCGTGTAGTAGTGTGGGGGGATGAGATGTTGCTTTGGCAACGTGTGAGAACGGCTGAGCGCCATTGCTGCAATTTGTTCAGAGCGGCTGGTCGAAGCTGCTCGGAGACCGACCTCAGGTATTTAGCAATATACTCGTCAAGGCCGACTCTAACAGCCTGAAGCACATCCGTGATTTGTCCATTAAGACGATACTTCGAGCCTTCATGGAACAAGTCACGGAGGCGATCATCAGGAATGATGTTGCAATGGGCTGTAACAACATAGCCGTCGACTAAGTGTGAGCAATCAGGAAACACTTTCCGACATTGACAGTCTGAGGGGTCAGGCAGAGAGATCCCAGGTGTCACGCTGAGCGCAATTTCCGTGAAATTAGAGAATTGGACGCGAGTTGGCGGCAACAACTTATCACAGATACGCAGGTGTGTTGCGACATCAGGGTCAGGGTGCAAGTGGAGCACCTGGGGTGCATGTAGGGCTTGTCGCAGGCCCGTTACTTGAGACACCTTGTGCATGTGCACAACTTTAATATGATCAAGGAAGGTATCTCGAGACTGGGTTGTGTATCGTTGGCGGACGTGTTGATACTTTCGAATCAGGCATTCAAGCTGCCGGATATGCGCAGTCATATCTGCATTGGATATATTATTGCTCAACCACTGCAGCAAGCGGGCACGCCAAACTGACGTTGCTCGCTGGATGACAGATTCCATCTGTTGCGAATTGCCAGCAGCAGCCTGTGAGAGAAGATTGTGCAGTGCAGACCGGACTTGAAAGTCGGGGCCTGGACGCAAATCAATGGGCTGGGGCTGTTGATAGTCTATATTAGGGTTCAGCCTCCTGATGAGTCGGTGAAACTCCGACGAAACAGTTCGTCACAACCCCTCGTTTGTTGTCCTCTTCTCTCTCTCTGGTTATGGTTTATCGGGCAGTTGTGTTTGTGACGATATATTCAGCCTCCTGATGAGTCGGTGAAACCCCTCGTTTGTTGTCCTCTTCTCTCTCTCTGCCTACGGTTTTACCGGGCAGTTCTGTTTGTGACGATATATATATATATGAGTCGGTGAAACTCCGACGAAACAGTTTGTCACAGCCCCTCGTTTGTTGTCCTC